TCATCTGGCCATGACAGACGTAAAAGTTGGAAGTAGGCAGATAGCATTGCCGGCAAAGGTACGAGAGATTGGAATGGTCATTTCTGGCTCATTAACCGTCGTCAGCCAGCCGTCGTGTCAATATCATCCAACCTTAACAGGCAAAACAACGAGCTCGTGGCTCAATGTTCAGGGCTTTTGGTTGTGATCAAAAAGGTCGTGAGTTCGAGGCTCAGGTGGGTAACCACTTCAGTCAGAGTACGACTGGCTGACGACGGCTAAGGAGCCAGAAATGGCCATCCCAGTCCCCCTTGCCTTTGCCGGCAATAATGTATACGGGGTAAATCGTTGAGTAACACGAAAGGGCAGTACTGGAAGCCTGACGGACGCCAGTATCTGGCACGCATGGCATAAGAATAGGATCCACAACCTACCATTTCAGAGATACCTGCGCAGAGTCCCAGCGTCAGCCATACCGGGTGTCCATGCTCTTTCGATTTCGCCTTAACAGTCTCATAGGTGTAGAAGAAGAGGGCGGCTAAAAATGATTACATTACAGTTAGTAAATTCCGCAGGGTAAAGGTTACCTAAAACTATAAAGGTACAGTATGAGTCGGCAGTGTAGGCCGGATTAACGCCTTCGAGACTGCTTGGCTGCACTTACAGAAAGCGGAATTTCTGCATGACGTCCGCGGACAAATTGTTCTAAAAAAAGCGAGACACGTCATATTCTCCTTAGTTGGTGAACGCTCAATGATCGGTTACGGGACTTGTTCGCGCGTCCCGCTCTGCCTCAATCCTCGCCAGCAGCCACACAGCGGCTGGTGATATAGGCCGATGAGCATTGCCATCAATAGTGGCAATGCTAACCTTCATTATATTCTGTCTACAGTAGGTGGCGTATCTCATGAAATGTTAACCGAGGTGTTGAAACGTGTTTTTGATTAGGAAGAAATAAGTGGGTGGGGTTGTAGTATTCCTCGTCGTATGGCATTATCCCAAGACATTTCAGTCACAAGGGGATGATGACTATTCAGTGCACGTACCGAACGCAGAACCCACATTCAGTAGCTTAAGTAGTATAGACTTATTCCACTGAATTCCGACACCCTAATAAAGTTAAACATAAGTTATGGTAAACATGCTCAAAAATACCGTCTATTCTACGCATGTGGTAGTGAATTAAGTTTATCGTTTTAGGCTCTACGAAATTATACTTTCAACCTTCAAAGAGATCCGTAGAGGTCTCAGCAGTGTTCGTAATCTGATCATTACAATCACCAGGCCAAATCCCTGGTTGTTGGAAAAGACAGGAGCAACCTGTGGGGGGAATTTATTGTGCAGAGGAATCCTATTTGCTGTCCCAGGCAGCAGTGGCTAAGGGCGAAGCCACAGCTACGTCCAGACGTGTCTGAGAGGGGGTGAGAGAGCGGTGGTATTTGCTTTAATGTGATTGTTGAGCAAGTTCAAGTGGTGTCCAATCGGTGTGGTGCATTACCCAGGGGTGTCGCGTATAGTGGTCCACGCTGCTTTGGTCAAGGGGTGACGTGCTGAAGCGGCGCTTGGGTAGCCCCAACTGGCTGGACGCGC